ATAGTTGTACTGGTGGTACTGGTAGTAGTAGTAGTAGTAGTAGTAGTAGTAGTAGTTGTAGTCGTAGTCGTAGTCGTAGTCGTAGTCGTAGTAGTAGTAGTAGTAGTAGTAGTAGTAGTAGTAGTAGCAATAGTAGTAGTAGTAGTAGCAGCAGCAGTAGTAGTAGCAGTAGAAAATTACTCCGACGGAAGAGCCCCACATAAGAATCCTCTGGGCGAATCTGGAAAAAAAACATCACCGTCGTCCTCGTGGTTGGTGAGGCGTCCTGGCTGTCTCTTCTGCGTATATTTCCTCTCGCCTTGGCGCGGGCCCCCCTTCCACTCCTTACGTTGTCCCCATCCTCGCCCCCCATGTTTGTTCCGCGCCCCGCCACCTCCTCCCCTTCCTGTTGCATGAGCGCGCATGTCGATGTTCCTCGGCGCCGTCGCCGCCACGGCCAGCACAGGCGCGTTCTATACTGGTCACGTCGCGCAGCCGTTGGGACAACCCCGCGGGCCAGGCTGTCGGGACAACCCCGCGGGCTTCGAGCGAGGCGCAGCCGCGCTCAGGCGGAAGGCATCACGAAGCCCAGCTCTGCCGCTCTGGCTGCCGCGAGCTGCCAGGCGAGGAACGGGGCGCCGCCGCGCGCCCGGCGGCGGCGGCGGCGGCGCAGCATGGGCAGCCCCATCCGCAGCAGCAGCGTGAGCGGGTCTTGCCGCCTACCGCGGCGTCGCACCGGGGCCCCGGGTCACTGCCGACTGCGCTCGGTGCGCCAGCGGCTGCCCCCCAATTCGCCTCGCCGCCCAAGCCGCAGAGACTCGCCGCCGCGGCCGCAGTGGCCGAGGCGGGCCCGACGCACATCGCCGCCAAGCGCGCCCCTGCCGCGGAGCTGCCGCAGCGGGTCGCCTGCGCGGCGTCGCCCTTCGCCGAGTCGGCTGCGCCTGGGCCGCCAGTGGCTGCTCCCAAAGCCGCCCCGCCGCCCGCGTCGCCGGGGCTCGCCGCTGCGCCTGCCGCGGAGCCGCCGCAGAGGGCCGCCCGCGAGGCGCCGCCCTTCGCCGCGTCGGCTGCACCTCGGTCGCCGGTGGCTGCTCCCAAGCCCGCCCCGCCGCTCGCGTCGCCAGGGCTCGCCGCTGCGTCCGCCGTGGCCGGAGAGGATGTACCGAAGAGGGCGAGGCTCACTGAGCCGCCGCCGAACCTCGATTTCGACACGCCTCCGGTATCTCCAACGCCTGCCCCGATGCTGTTTGAGGCGTCGCGCCGGCACATTGCCCACGTGTCAAAGGTCTACTTGCACGGCCTCGAGGTCACCGACAGGTCGATGCCCTTGCCGGACCGACAGAGCACCGATGCATGGGAGCCCGGCGTGGCCCCCCACGCCATCCAGAGGCAAGACTTCTCTGCAGCTGCGCACCTGCTGCGCGTTTTCCTGGCCGAGTTCAAGCAGACGGCGGCTTGCCGTGAGCGCATTGGAGACCCCAAGCTCAAGTTGCTGACCGCGGCGGGCGAGAGGAAGTTCATTGGCCTCCACGGGAAGCGCTTGAACCTTCTCGCCGGCGGGAGATGGTTCGAGATGGGGACGCAGGAGCGGCTCGCGTTTTTCAACACGTACGCCCGCCGGGCCTTTTCCACGGTTCCTGAGAAGCTGGCCGGGCAGCGCATGATGCCGGTTGCCGGGGAGCTCGCTCGTCGCTGTGACTGGTTCTCCGGGGAGCAGGCGGTGCGTTTCCACATCACGGAGGAGGAGGCGGGCGAACTCCTCGACGCAGTCGCAGCCGTCTACACTGCGGACATTGAGGCGCTGGGCGCGGCGGCCCGGCCGGCGCGGTGAGGCGCCGCGCCGGCGCGATCGCCCTGAAGAGTTGTTCTGACGGGCGACGCGCTGGGCGACGCCGATCGCCGCGCGCTCGCCCCGAGGAGTTGTTCCGACGGGTTGGGCGCGCACTGAACACTTTGCTGCCTCGGCGTCGCCGTCCGTTCTGCTGCCTACGAAAAAAAAACGGTGATTACCAACATGATCTGCAGGCCCCATAGGGAGGGGGTTCCCGCCTGAGCCTTCCTCATAATTCACTCACAGACGAGGCTCCCGCCTGAGACTTCCTCCAAATTCAGGCTTGAGGAGCCCAAACGTGACGACAGTTACAGGATTCCGATGACCCGCTCGGATTACCAACATGATCTGCGGGCCCCATAGGGAGGGAGCTCCCGCCTGAGACTTCCTCCCGATTCACTCACAGACGAGGCTCCCGCCTGAGACTTCCTCCATTTTCAGGCCTGGGGAGCTCAAAAGTGACGACAGTTACAGGATTCCGATGACCCGCTCGGATTACCAACATGATCTGCGGGCCCCATAGGGAGGGGGCTCCCGCCTGAGACTTCCTCAGAATTCACTCACAGACGAGGCTCCCGCCTGAGACTTCCTCCAAATTCAGGCTTGAGGAGCCCAAAAGTGACGACAGTTACAGGGTTCCGATGACCCGCTCGGATTACCAACATGATCTGCGGGCCCCATAGGGAGGGAGCTCCCGCCTGAGACTTCCTCCCAATTCACTCACAGACGAGGCTCCCGCCTGAGACTTCCTCCATTTTCAGGCCTGGGGAGCTCAAAAGTGACGACAGTTACAGGATTCCGATGACCCGCTCGGATTACCAACATGATCTGCGGGCCCCATAGGGAGGGGGCTCCCGCCTGAGACTTCCTCACAATTTACTCAACGATGATGAGGATGAGGATGATGAGTGGTGGTGAAGATGAGTGGTGAAGAGGATGATGATTGATTGTGAGTGGTGGTGGCGATGATGATGTTTGAATGAGGATGATGCTGATGCCGATGATGATGATGATGATGTTCGTGAGCGTGTGAGAGAGTGCGAGTGATGATTATGATGAGTATGTGAGTGACTAAGCATGTGAGAGAGCATCATCGATGATGCTGATGAGGCTGATGCTGAGAGAGTGTGAGTGAGTGTGAGTGGGTGTGTGTGTTCCTGTTCCTGCGCGGGGTGTCCAGAGAAAACAAGAACCCCACTTTGGATGTGGAAAAAAAAAGAAAGTGGTACTGGCAATACGAAGAGGAGGGGGACATAGTAGTAGCGGTGGTAGTAATAGTAGTTTGAACTCGTCGGCGCATAAAGCATCATAATGGTGGTCGTAATTGCGGCGGTAGCCGTCGCAATGGGACTGTTACTTGTGGCATGTGTAAGGATCGTAATAATGGTGGCCATCCATAGTACTTGTCGTAACCGTAATCAGACGACGTGTGGTCACCAACAAATATTGGTCGCAAACACCTTAGCAGCCACAGTAGCTGTGGAACGGATGAAGCAATAGGAATCGTAGCAAAAACAATCGTAACAATAAGAACGAAAGCCGATCCTTTACGGCACAATAGTAAGCGCAGCCGTGATTGCAGCAGCCGTAATAGCAGCATTCGTTACCCCGAAGGTAAGCCCCCGCACCAGAATCTACTTAGATTGCCCTGCGCCCGTTCCTCGTCGTCCTGGCCGAAGCGCCTCATTTCGCCCTCTGTTGCTCCTCCGCCTCATCCTCTTTGGTTTCCTCGTCCTGGGTCTCCTCCTCCTGATCGCCCTCCTTGTTCAATTCGTCCGTTTCTTCTTCGTCCGTTCCTCCCACCCCTCCCCCTCCACGTCCTCCTCCTTCTCCCCCCCCCTTCTCATCTCCATCCCGCCTGTTCTCCTCATGCACCTTTCCTTCCTCCCTGCAGGGGGTGCGCATGCATATTTTCCTTGGCGCCCTCGCCGCCGCGCCCGGCGGGGGCGCGTTCTCCTGTGGCCCTATCGCGAAACCTCCGGGACAACGGTCGCTGGGACAACCCCGCGAGCCGCTGGGGCGCGAAAGCAAGCCGCTGGGACAACCCGCAGGCATCGAGGTAGCCGCGGCCGCGCTCAGGTGGGAGGCAACACAGAGTCCAGCTATGCCGCGAACTGCTCCGCCTCAGCCCTGGAGTACCGCTCGTGTCGAACTCCTCGAACGACTTGTGACTAGGGAGGGGGCTCCCGCCTGTGACTTCCTTGCAACTCACTCGCAGACGCGCGAGGAACGCCGCGTGATGTGCTCCTGTGGGGTGCTCAAATGCTATGCCTGGTAGAGTCTGGGGGGGGGGGGGATCGCCTGAGACTTCCACTTACGGACGAAGCCCTCGCGAGATACTTCCTCCATGTTCAGTCCAGAGGAGCCGAAAAGTGACGATAGTTACAAGGTTCCGATGGCCCGCCCGGTTGAAAGAAAAAACATGAAATGCGGTCCCCATAGGGAGGGGGCTCCCGCCTGAGACTTACTCGCAATTCACTCACATACGAAGCTCCCGCCTGTGACTTCCTCCATAGTCAAGCCTGAACAGCTCAATAATGACGACGGTTACAAGGTTCCAATGATCCGCTCGAATTAAAAACATGACGCGCGGGACCCATAGGCAGGAGGTTCCCGCTTGAGACCTCCTGCCACTTTACTCACAGACGAGGCTCCCGCCTGAGACTTCTTCAAGATCCAAGTTTGAAGAGCCCAAAAGTGACCACAGGTACAGGATTCCGATAACCCACTCGGACTAAAAACATGAGCTGCACAACAAATGAGGCGCGGAACCCATGGGAAGGGAGGGTCCACCTGAGACTCCGGCGCAATTCACTCACAGACGAGGGTCCCTCCTGAGACTCCCTGAAGACCCAAGCCTGAGGAACCCAAACATGACGACATATACCATATTCTGATGACCCACTCGGATGAAAAAACATGAGCTACGGGCCCCATGGGGAGGAGCTCCCGCATGAGGCGTCCTCACAATTCACTCACAGACGAGGCTCCCGCCTGAGACTTCATCCATGCTCAAGCTTGACGACGCTCACCCCCTCATGTACTCATGAGGGGTTGGGAGTTGAGTGAATGAGTGAGTGAGTGAGTGAGTGATGATGATAGTGATGATGATGCTGCTGATGATGATGATGACAATTACGATACGTGTGTGACTATGGAAGAGTGAGTGAGTGAGTGGGGAGGAAAGGTGGTCAGGTGTGATGTTCCTGCGCGGGAGGGTGCAGAGACAACAAGAACACCACTTTGGATGTGGGAACTACTAATAGTAATGGCAGAGACGACATCAGAAGCTTCCCCAAATCCGGCAAAGCATCTCCAGGCCGAACAAAATCGCGCCAACGCACTAAGCGGTCGAGGCAGATCCAGCCGTACTGTTCGGCACCAGCAGACCACGCGAGTCTTCACATCCATGGAGGCCTCATGACTGAACACAGGGGCCAAGGACAGGTATAAGCGCTAAGCGCTCAGCGATGGTGCAACATCTACCTGGAGGCCTGAATACAAGCGGTGCACAACACCCAGCACGCCGCCTATAAGTTCACCGTCTGAAGCACATCCCCGCAAGGCCAAGCATGCCCAGGCCAAGCAGCAGTGCTCGAGGGCTGCGAGCAGACGCGGAAGAACAGAGCGCGCTGCGAGGCGCAGCATAAAATCCAGTTTCCCTGGAAGTCCCTGATCGAGCACAGGGGGCAGAATGCGTAGACGAGACGAGCTCGTGCACATTCATAGCTCAATCGCTCGCGCTGTCGCGCGCCTCGCACCGCTGGCCGCTCTCTATTGTTTGTGTTGTTTTGTTCTCTCTCTCTCTCTCCCCCTCTCTCTCTCTCTATTTCTCTCTCTCTCTCTCTCTCTCTTTCTCTCTCCCTCTCTCTATCATTATCTCTCTCTCTTTCTCTCTCTCTCTCTCTCTCTCTCCCCCCGCCCCCTCCCGCTCTATTTCTATCCCCCCTCTCCCTCTCTCTCTCTCTCTCCCCCCTCTCTCTCTCGCGGGCCCAGGCCTACATCCACCACCGTGCCTTCGCACAATGGGGCGTGTTAGGATGCCTTCCTTATGTTTCAAAATGTTTTTTAGTGCCGACACCCTCCCCCTCCCCCCAGACCCCCCCCCGTTCCGTCCTCACCTCGCCGTACACGCCGGCAACGCCCCCACGCCCCCCTCCTGGGACACGTAACAATGCACCGCCCGCTGACGGCCCAAGAGCCCACCTCCCCCCCACACCACCCCACCTTACCCCCCACCCCACCACACCACACCACGCCCCGCCCCCCACCCCACCCCACCTCACCCACGCACCCCTTTCCCTTCCCACCACCACCACCCACCCACCCACCCACCCACCGACCCACCCACCCACCAAACCCACCCACACACCCACCACCCACAAACCCACCCACACACCCACCACCCACAAACCCACCCACCCACCCACCTACCCCCCCCCCCCCACACACACACACACACACACACACACACACACACACACACACACACACACACACACACACACACACACACACACACACACACACGCGCACACGCGCACACACATACACACAAACACATACACACACACACACACACACACACACACACACACACACACACACGCACACGCACACGCACACGCACACGCACACGCACACACACACACACCACAACCACCACAACCACAACCACAACCACCACCACCACCACCGCCACCGCCACCGCCACCACCACCACCACCACCACCACCACCACTACCACCGCAAGAGAGCCCACGAAGCCCCCCAAGAGGCTCCAAACAGGTCCCAAGACGGCCCCCTGACGGCCCACGAAGGCTCCTGGACGGCCCCAAGAGGGGCCCACGACGGGGTGGCATTAGAGGCTTCCCCACAGATTGTTAAACATCTCCTGCCGTATCGAAGCTCCATAGATATCCCAAGGCGGCCCCAAGATGGCCTAAGACGGCCCAAGACGGCCCCAGGACAACCTCAAGACGGTCCGGGACGATCCCCAAATGGACCCAAGACGCCGTTGCCCGAGAAACTGTCCAAGAAACCTCAAACTCGCTCCGCGAAATCCCGCGTCGTCAGCGAAACGCTCGTCGAAGCGTTGGGGTGGAACGCCCTTGGCCTTGTGTGAGCAGCCGCCCTGATAGCTCTGATGATTGCCAGGGCCGCCTCGACACTCGCAGATCTCAGATAAATGGCTGAATGAATTACGTCGTTTCTCGGATTTGCTGAGGCCATATCAGGGCATTTAGGGGTGGTCTTCTTGGGGCCACCCTGGGGCGCCAGCGGAATCCCCGCGAAGGAGGCGTGCGCTCAGGATATGTATGGGATTTGTTGGGCGTCGATGTGATGAGCTTTTTTACCGCGAGCGGTTGTGCCCTGCTGTGGGCAAGTCACAAGAGGCCAAGCCCTCCCTCCGCCCTAGCGTCGAGAGGGCTTGTAGCAGAAAGCGGCGTCGGGAAAGAAGGTAGGTGGATGTGGCAGCACTGATCTTCAACACTGCTACCACAATGATTTCCCCTCATCATCCTCCCCGCACTTCGCCCGCCCACGCGGCGGGCGGGCACGCGAAAAAAACAAAAAAAAAAAAAAAAAAAAAAAAAACGCAGGCCTCCCCCGGAAGAAGACGCGATCCGCAGATGGGACTACGGCGGGATATTATTCCCGAAGGGTCCTCCACCGGAGGCGCAAAAACAAACCTCCACCAGAAGCTGAAACGAACCGCTGATGGGCTCTCCGCGGGATCTTCGCCCCGAGTCATCGACGGGAGGGCGCTGTGACTCAGCCGCCCGCGGGATCTTCGCCCCGCGCCGTCGCCCGCCAGAGAAGAAAGACATCACGCGGGGATTCCGCCCCGAAGCGCCCGCCACTCGAGGACGGCGTTAAAGGGAAGCAGCGCGCGCGACGTCGAGCGTTCCGCTCGCGCCCGATCGGGGAACGCCACCCCGCCTCTCGCACTGCCGGGCGGCCGCCGCTGGCGGCGCCGCCCGCGCGGGCCACTTCGGCGCCCGCCCTTCGGAGCGCCGTCGGCATGGAAACGGGGGCACCGATTGCCCCGATGGCCCTTCTGGCAGCGCACGCGGCGCACATTGTGCCCCAGCAGCTTCGAGGGAATGCTCCCTGGGGCGAACTGGCCCGCCGCGGCCGCGGAGGCACCGCCCCTGCGTGCCTCCTTGGGTTTGTTGACCGGCCCATGCCCTTACCCTTGGGCCCCTTGCCTTTCGCGCCCCGCTGGCGCCCCCTGCCCTGGCCCGCGGCGGAGGAGCTCGATCCCGAGCCCGCCCCCGCCGCCTGCCGCGGCCGCGCCGGAAGCCGACCCGCGGTGGACTGGCGCCCCGCACCATGCTGGGGCAGCCTCTTCTTCTTCCATGCCTGCACTGCCGCGCTCCGACGAGGCCGATCCCTCCCCGCTGTGAGACGCAGCCTGGCGGCGATGCGCGATCGTCTCGGGCGCCTGCGCCTGCGCCCTCGCCCGGCGAGCCTGCCCCCTCCTCGGCGCCTCAGCGCGGTCAGAGCGGCAGGCGGCCTGGCGGCCGAGGGCGAGCATCCAGTTGGCCGTCGCCGCCGGGAACACTTCCTGCAGCAGCGCACTTCTTGCCGTCGCGAACCCTGTCGTTCCGGCGCTCAGACAGGCCCTCCAAGGCGCGCGACGATGGTCGGACCAGTTGGCCCGGGCGCTCCACGCGGCAGGAGTTCCCGAACCAGAGGAGCCAGCAGCTGCCACTATCTCCTGGACCTCCTCACGGTCGAACGCGAGCCACTGATCGCCCACTCTTCGCCCGCCGCGCCTTCCCCCGCCGCGCCGTCGCCGCCGCGCCCCCGGCGCGCGCAGCACGCGGGTTCCGACCCCGGGCCGAATTGAAGCTCATGCCCCGCAATCTTGCCATCCTCGCGCTCCTTGCGCCCCTGCGGGGCCGGGGCCCCGCGGCGTCTGCTTGGCCGCGGGCAGCAGCTGGATCTGGCGACCGCCGCCCGACTCCCCCGTGACCGCGCCGCCCTCCGCGCGAGGCGGCGCCCGGCTAGGGCCCCGCCGCAATGCGTCGCCACCCGGCGGGGACGACGCCCTCGCGTCGTCGCGACCAGCCATGGCGCGCGGGCAGGCAGTGGGCGGCTCGCGCGCTCGCACCAGCCTCAGCAGCAGCGCAATGCGCACTGTCGCGGGAGTGGGGGAGGGCGAGGTAGGACGGAGGACGGAGGACCTCGTTGCTTCCCATCGCGAGTCGCCTTGCCTCGCTCGATGGCCTGGGCGCTCGTCTCACGCCCGCGCTCGACGCGTTTCCATAAACTCCCGTACCTTGTCGCTCAGACCCATGTTAAACACTTCAATCTAAGGCCCGAAGCTAAACCAGCCGTCGATTGGCGGAATCGACTGACCAACGGCGGCGCCCCCCCCCCCCCCCCCCCCCCCCCAGCAAAAGCCATGGCGCAAATGTCTAAGTTCATCCGCGCCCCAGCCACAACGCCATGAGAAAGCCCCCCCCACCTCGTGGTGATGCTGGGGCTGGGGCGCGGATGAGCTTGGACACATGCTCAATGGTTTTTGCTTGCGGGGTCGCTATAGAGAAGAAACAAAAGCCGGAAGAAGCGGCGGCGCTGTCGCAGCATGCTGCAGGCGGCGTGCCCAATGACCGCAGCGACAAACTCGTAGCCCAAGGCAAATGTGCGGGAAATCATGCGCTGACAAAGTGTCGGCCTAAGTCTCGAAGCAAATATGCATCGCGTTCTGGCAGATACCAAACGTTTAGCCATATCATCTAATTCATACCATGTATAGAGTTAATAAAGACGCGGCCTTTGGGAGTAAGGACAACTGCGCCGCCTCCACTGGGCCCGAGGTATGGAGAGACAGGGGGGCGCCGCTGCCGTGCGAGGCCGACGGGCCAGGCGATCGCGAGTGGCAACGCCGCGACGTGGGTGACCTCCACGCGCTTACATCGACAACCACATCCCGCGCGCATTGGGCCCTCGGGGGCCGCGACGTCCGCATGGCAGAGTTTCTTCTCGGCATTGGCAAGCACCGCTTGCTCGAGGCAGTCAGAGGCAGCATCGACTTGAGGAAGACACGCCCAGGCATGGCCCCCCAGCCAAACAAAACGCAAGCTAAAGAAGCTGCGCACAGTGCGCTATGCCGCAGGTTCTTCGCAGAGTTGTAATTGCGCGCCCTCAGCAGAGCCGATGCCCAACGAGTTCAGGGGAGGAGGCAGATACGTCAATGGCGCCGCTGATGCCCCAGGCAGCGACGCAAACGGCGGGCTCATGGACGCGGCCGCTTTGGAGCGTGAGTTGCACGACCTCTTGCCGCAATCCAGCGGCGCTGTCGCGCGATTCCGCCACCGCGCTCGGGCGGGCGCCCAGGGGGGGAGGGGGGGCGGGCGCGGGGGGGGGGGGCGCGGAAGTTCCCTCCCGTTTTCCTGTCTTCAGGGACATCGATCACCTTCTGATTGGAAAAGCCAAAGCGATGGGACTTGGTCACAAAAACGAGCCGCTTCACGGCCTCGATGCGTCGGGGGGGCCCTACTTACTGCATCGCAAGGAGCGAGAAGGCCAGAGACGCACCTACCGCTGCAAGCGCGGTGGCGGATTTCTGGGCGACGCCGCTGAGAAAAGATTCTCCGCGGAGCCAGTGCGCGCGCCGTAATTTTCCTGCGCGCGCGACCTCTACTGGCTCTCGTTGGCGACGCTTCATGAGTGGCTTCGGCCGACGGATGCCGGGCCATCGCGGATGACGTTCTGGCGCTGCTGGAACAGCACACGTGCAAAATTCCTCGTGTCCCGGAAAGAAAGCGAGCATGGCAAATGCAGCTTA